CGGTAATAGCTACTCGACACCTCACTCGATCACGAGTGGCGTACTTCAAGGCATGGTCCTGGGTCCGCTACTCTTCCTTCTGTACATCAATGATATTTCGACTGAACTCGGAAATTCGCAAACTTTTACTTATGCCGATGACCTCAAGTGTGTTTACTCATACTCTAAGGACACCGCAAATGTTTGTGTTGAAAAAATTAATGCCGATTTACTACGCTTAAGCAGATGGGGTTCGACATGGCAGATGGAGTTTTCATCATCCAAGTGTAGTTTCATGTCTTTTGGTCCTACCAAACTTCCTGGTCCCATAATTTTTCAGAATAACACACTCTCAGAATGTCTCACCAAAAAGGACCTAGGTCTGAGTTATACAAATAAACTTGCTTTATCACCTCATGCAGATAGAATCTCTGCCAAAGCCGCGCAGATATGTGGATTCATATCGCACAATTTCTTCCTTCTGGGAATGAAGCTAAGACTTTATCAAATGTTTGTTCTTCCAGTCCTCGAATATTGCTGTCCTTTCTTCGGTTTAATGAGCGCCTGCGACCGTAATAAAATCGAAAATGTTCAGAGGGTTTTCACCCGGAAACTGTTCTCTCAAGCTTCATCTGGCATTTCTTATACTCAGAGATGTCAGCTGGCGAACATGAAGTTTTTGTGGGTTAGAAGACTCGAAGCTGGCCTGTGCTTCCTTTTTCGCATCAACTCTAGCTCCAGTCTTCCGCACATTGACACTCTCACTCCGAGAGATCGGTCTTATGCCACGCGCAACTCCTGCATGGTGATTCCGCCGCCTCTTTGTACTAAATCTAAGCGCTCCCTCTTCTTTGCTTCCAAATATGCCTTCCTTTGGAATAATCTTCCGCCTGAAATTAGATTATCGCCTAGGTTACTGATATTCAAGTCGAAATTACGCAACCATCTTACACCGGAAAGCATAAAGGCACTGTTAACGGTCTCATTCCCGAACACTCAGGTTCTTGACTTCGAGAAGGGTCCTCCTGGGATTTAGTGGTAGATTAAGTGGTAACTCTTATTTATATCATTAGAAACCCCTGTTTTTAATTGGTTTCTATATCCATCGCTATCCTTCCCCCCATAGCGACAATTTTCGCGGTTTTTGATGTCATCTCCCGCATTCCGACCTCATGCGGTCTGTCGACGCTCACGGCGGAACCCTCAGTATTCACTGTCTACTAATAGTTCGGTCGTACCTCCCTTCCTCACTGCTCGGCTGAGCTCGAAGCGTGCTGTGGCCGATCGCATCTCGGTTCCTCTCGTCTGGCCTCTTTGACGCGGCGTACTAATCCGGCCCAGACGATCTCAATTGTGAATCCCGTATACAATGCCATTTGCAAGCCAGTCCTGTCTGACCCACATTCGTACCCATCAAGGCGGACATTTATTGATACCCTGACGATGACCGAAAACATTCCGTTATATACCACCACCTACTGGCCAGTCCTGCTCGCTTTTTCTGTTACTATTTTTAAAGAGGGGTTTTTTCTCCTGAATAATTAATCCAAACATTTTTAACTTTTTCCGAGGAGTTTTTTTTACCCCTCAATCATCATGTTTCTCAATGGACTTCTAATTCAGAAACTATGAATTGCATTCTGTAAAGATTCAGCCCACCTCGTCTAAAACTCGCATGCAACTTTATTTTAACTTGCTTTGATGGGACCCCGACGGGTCTTTAATAAAAATTATCTATCTATCTATCTATCAGATCACTGTAGAAAGAGGGTCCAGAAGGCAATCAGTACTCTACACTGGATCAGGCGTGCACTTAAAATATTTTCCCCCGAACTCTTCGAAAGATTTTTTTGGCGTCTTTGTAAGACCCCATCTGGAGTATGGAATGCCAGCAGCTTCACCATGGATGAGAAAGGATATCGGCTTACTCGAACAGATGCAACGCAGAACAACGAAGATGGTCGACGGTCCGAAGCATTTGTCTCAGCATAAGAGGCTGAATGTGCTGGGCTTATTCCATCTCTCTTATAGACAAATAAACTGCAGTCTACTCTGGACATTCCCGGATTGTCCGCGGTCAAGTTTGCTCATTAAGAACGGAGGACTTCTTTGAGTTTGCCCATACAAACCAATTACGTGGTCATGCCTACAAAGCCAAGAGTGAGCGCAAGTGGTTAGACCGTAGAAAGTTTTCATTTTGCCAGCGGGTTCTCAGACCGTGGAACTCGCTTCCAAGCCAGATGGTGACGGCCGACACAATTTGCATGTTTAAAGGAAGACTTACCCGTCTAGTTTTCGACAGAAATTGGCTTTTACAGCATGACTACCCACAGCTGGTTCTGTAAAACATTATCATATACAATCCCTTCGCACTAACTTACAATGACCTGAAGCCATTCCTTATCATTATGATTATACTGTGAACCGATTACATTTTAGATGCCTGCAATTTTATTTTGAGTGCGAATCTGCGAAAGCACTGTACATAAATAGGGTCATCAAGGGCTCTGCCTCTAACCCTCCAGGTATATACACATATATACCCGATTGAAGCGAAAATGCGCGTTCCTGGATATAACTGAGAAGATAAGGAGATCGCAGGAACCATAGGTATATTTGCCTGACGTTTCGAAAGCAAACAAGCTTCCATCATCGGAGGTGGTTTGCGTACTGCACGTCACAGTATTTAAGGATTTTGTTCTTCGTGCTGGCGTGTCACTGACTGCCCGACAAAGGATGAGGAGGAACCGTTGCCGCCATGACAACAAATCGCCAAACCTTGAGATGCAGCGCGCTGGCAGTCAGTGACACGCCAGCACGAAGAACAAAACCCTTAAATACTGTGACGTGCAGTACGCAAACCACATCCGATGATGGAAGCTCGTTTGCTTTCGAAACGTCAGGCAAATATAACTATGGTTCCTGCGATCGCCTTATCTTCTCACATATATACCCATACACGTATAACATCGGGAGTAGTCAAACGTAGTTCACATTAAGTGGTCTATACTTCCAAGTCCATTCCTAATCCAGTATATATAAAGAAAACAGGAAGAGTCTTTGAAACCCCTATTCACAGAAAAACACAGAAAAAACGCGCACACGTGTACGCATATATGCAGCTTTATAAGTTCTGATCAAGCAAATGTATGGCCATCATATACAATGCTATCAAGCCTTCGTCTAAACGCCTGGACCCTTTCCGTCAGAACAATTGGATGAGGTAGTTTGTTCCAATCTTCAGTTAGCCGGTGAGAGCAGAAGTTCACCGGTGCTTCAGGTTCGATGAACTATGTCTTCAATTTATATCAGTATCCTCAGAGATTTGTCATTTATGCAAGTTCAAAAAGTCGGTTAATTTAAGTGCACAGTCTGCTCTTCTAACGAGTTTGAAGAGCATGACCATGTCCGCTCTGTATTTAATATAATAAAGAAGGAAAAGTATGAGCCTTTCCAGCCGTTTCTCTTAAGGTAAGCTCTTCAGCCCACCGACCAATTTAGTCGCCCTTTGTTTCACCTCCTCTTGCTTTATCTAGGGGCACCACGCCGGAATGCCGTGTTCTAAAATCGGCCGGACGAATGTTCCAAACAGTCGACCGAAAAGCTCTTTTTCAAACTGAAGGAAAGGTCGCCTGAACGCTCCTAAGATACCCATAGTCTTCTTTGCTATCTTCGCGCAGTTAGACGAGGGTTTGAGAATAAACGTCATCCACACACCTAGGTCCTTTACCTGGTAGTGGCACGAAAAAGCACTTTCGTTTAATGTGCCAACAAACTTCACAACATTCAGTATAACGTTTTCGTCACGCTGCATTCATTCCGTCACTTTGTTCTTTCTAATTCTAACCGCAATAGACCGGGTTATTACTTAAATTGGTGACCCAGACTTCGCCCTGCTATTTCTCCTGTATCATTCATCGTGTCCACGGATAGAAAACCACAGTTGCTGACAGCCTGTCGCGATTCGAGGTTAATGTTACCAATAAAACTAAGTCACACAAGTCCAGGTCAAACATCCATTAAACCACGTTACCTTCTGAACGCCTCTCTTTTGTCCGCGACATTTTTCGGCCCATTATCAAGGAAACCATCACTGGATTGTCTAAATTCAGCGAATATTCCCATGTTATAGTTGAAAAAGCAAATTGGCTAACACGTATTTTCGGTAATTCTTAGTCAGGCCAATACAATTACATGAAGGAGTGAAAATGTACAAAATTAACAGGGTTTATAGGTCTCGCAAGGGCAATTAAGTCATTAACAGTCATCTTCCCCACGCCGCCAGCATGACGAGGTCGGCGGGTTTTGGTTCTTAGGGCTGGGGGAGGGGGGTTATCGAGTCTTTGAGTGATGTTCTTGAATTGAGTACACGGAGTACCCATCACTGTAATCAGGGATTTGAGGCGGCATGTCGTCATCACGTGAGGTTGGCGTTGGCCACGGCAGACAGAGCGCTTGTGTCAGGGTTTTCTGACAGCATAGTATCGGATTCCCCATCCGTAAAGCACCGAGGTCGTTGAAGGTCAGCTAACGGCGGTTCTCAGAGTTCTTCACAAATAAGGTCATTTATCTGACAAAGAATATGAGCGACTAAGACCAGTGGGCACGGCCATACCCAGAACGTACGGCCTCCCAAAAATTCACAAACACGGGCTACCCCTACGTCCAATCCTGGATATGAGGAATTCGCCCTATCACACCATAGCATAGTGGCTAGTCGAAAAGCTTAAACCGTTGCAAAGTCATCTGTACCCCCTAAGTCTGAAGGACTCCTTCGAGTTTGTCGAGGCGATTAAGGATATTAACGTTGACGGACGGAGGATGATATCATTAGACATAGCATCATTTTTTACTAATGTACCCGTAGCCGAAACAATAAACTACCTTTGTGACGTCATCCGCGACACGAACTACCCGTTAGACATGCCGTTGGAGACGTTAAAGAAATACTGACACGTTGCACGCAAAACGTCCAATTTCTCTGCAATGGTCAACTGTACAGGCAGATAGACGGCGTAGCAATGGGCTCACCGCTCGGCCCATTCCTCGCAAATGTCTTCATAGGCACAGTCGAGATGACAATTTTACAAGACGGTCGGAACGTGGACGATATCTTCTGTCTGGCGGATAGTACCACCGATATCGACGACCCTGTCCAAAAGTTCAACATTGCGCACCCCTCACTAAAGTTCACTGCTGAGTCCGAGGCAGACAACGAAATTGAGTTTCTCGGGGTCCTTCTACACAGGCAGGAGGATGGGCCTATTCAGCGCAGGGTGTTCCGAAAGAAAACCTGGACAGGACAATACATTAATTGCCACAGTTTTGTTCCCCTCAACATCAAACGAAATCTACTCCAGGGATTAGCAGCTAGAGTGAAGCGCATCGGCTCACCTGAAGCTATTGAAGCAGAGCCCCAACAGCTGCAGAACAGGCTCCGCGAGGACTGATATCCAGATAGATTTATCCTCCAAAATATTGTGGGACGCCTTGCAAAGCTCACTGTTGCGACTGCAGAAAAGAAAGATGTATTAATAAGACTGCCTTTTGCAAGGGAAGCAGCGAGCGAACTAGTCAGACGGCGCTTAACTACAGCTGTCACGAGAGCATTCCCCGCGGCGAATTTACGCGTATGCTTCACAAACTCTCCCCTCCTACGTTTGGGAGGTAAAGACAGACTACCGTTGGAGGCCACATCAATGTGCATTTACTCATTCACTTGCTCCTGTGGAGCGGGATACATCAGCCGTACAACGAGACGCCTGGTAAAGAGGGTGCGTGAACATATGCCCGCCTGGCTAGACAGAGGTGAGATCCGATCAGTTTCGAGCTCTATTCTCGCACATTTAATCGATACGGATCACCGAGTCGATGCCAAGGAAGCATTTCGGGTTGTCTATCGGACAACAACAAGCTTCTCTAAAGGCCTACGCCAACGGATACTAGCAACGGCCGAGGCAGTTGCTATACTCCGTGCAACCAACAACATAGGCCACAGGGACACCAATCCACGGCAAATGCAACACTCGCCGCTTGCGCTTGGCCCACGAACCTACAAACGTGGCTGCTACCACAGCCCCAGGGACTCTCAGGCATGACTGAACGCATTCAACACCAGCCCTGGCTTCGCCAGTGGCCCCCACCACCTGAAAGGACAACTCCGGGTTCTGTTTACATTAAACTCCTCATTCTGGTGCCTTCTATTTTCGCCCTGCAACTTAGGATTTGACCTAGTGGCAGTAGCTCACAGACCTCATATTCTCACCGCCTAGCCCCTACAACCTCGTTTACAAGCTCGAGTTCGTGCATTCCAAGGAAATACTGATATTCAGATCACAGATCCTTTCTGTAAGTAGACCTTAGTCGTACGAATTAACATTTGTTAAGATTGAGGTTGAGAAACCATTCATCACACCACTGTTACAGTCGATCTAAGATGTTTTACAAGTTTAGCACGTGCTCTGACTTTTCAACCGGACTCCACATCTTCAGATCATCAGCGAACATTATCTTCTCACAGGTCAGACAGTCTAGGCAATCGTTTACATATATTAACAAAAGAATGGGACCCAGAACGCTCCCCTACGGAACCCCGCCGTGAACGGTTTCCCACTCCGATTTGGCGTCACCAATGCACACACACTGACGTCGGCGCATGAGAAGTTCCCGCAGATCTTGCTGAGACAGGAAATATACTGTAACGGGGACCTCAATGCAGTGTGCTGTTAGCAAAGTGAATGACAGGTGGTATTTGAAACTGGACTCGAATGTGAACGGCGTTTCGTTTTATGAGTCGTAGTGCCTGGACCTACATCCTCGACGATAATCCTGTAGTTCACTCATCAGAATCGCTGAATTCAATCCCCATAACCGTGTTCGATTTAAAAACGAATAAACTTTCTGATTTTATCTTACATATTTTATTTCTTGTTTTGGTTGTTGTGCTATAATATCGAAGTGTGGCGAGGTTATGGAATCAACATCTTTTAGAGCAACAGACGACCATCGGAATAGCGATGCGGAAGATAAGGTGGATTCTGCGAGTTTACATCGATCGCGAAAATTACCCTCAGATGTTGCAATTTCCTACGATTTTTTTTAGATATCTCCCATTATCGATGGTGTTATTAGTCGAGCTTTGTCCTGTATGCTCTCAATCCATAACCCTTCATGTTGGGGATTTCTGGTGCTCAACTTCGGTTAACAGCGTCGCCGATGTTCGAAAAAACGCGCCTCACTATCCCGAAGTTTACCGGTCTGTTAACTAACCTGCGAATTCTGAGGCACCCCCGGTAAAATTAAGAGAGTTTCATGCAATTTGTTTTACACCACTGTTGAGTATAGACCAATGGTAGACCGGCACATGTTAGCCCGCTCACTTCGGTTTCCTTCCGTGATGCATCCGCCGCTGCCTCTGTGCCTTTTGTTACTTTTCTTGGGAAGGTCATTCGCTGCCGACGAGGAGGTATCCTCTCCGACTAAGGTTGGCATCCTATTCCTTATTTAAACGCTGTAGCCCTTATTCACTCCCCCACATATTCCGGATGATGCTGTGCTCGCCGTATATTTTGATTCGGGCGACGACCTGGAAAAGTAACATTGTGTTTTCTCGGTTATTTCCTAGGTTTGTACTGTCAAAAGCCAAAAAAGAGGGCGTTGAAGATGCAATCGCCAAATATGATGGCCTTTGGGACGTTGAGATTCCGCTATCCAGTGCAATCGAAGGCGACCACTACCTAGTTCTCAAATCCAAGAATAAGCATCATGCCATTGCAACAGACCTTGGCAAGGAATTTCAGTTTACGGGCGACGAGTTCGTGCTGCAGTACGAAGTTAATTTTCTTGAGGGTATATCCTGTGGTGGCGGCTACGTGAAGTTGCTTTCTGCGTCCCCAGACATAAACTTGGTATGTCGGTTAACCTAAGTATATAATGCTCTAGACCCAATTTCACGATAAAACACCCTACACCATCATGTTTGGCCCTGACAAATGTGGCATGGACATGAAGGTTTGCCCTTCTTTTTACTCATCGCCGATCAGATTCACTTCATTTTCCGTCACCGTAACCCCAAAACCGGTGTAATTGAAGAGAAACACGCTAAACAATCATCAAAGTCGCTTGACACCTACTTCAGCGACAAGAAGACGCATTTGTATACTCTCGGTAATCTTTCATGTCCACGTTTTTATCTTATTAGTTATCCGATCCGACAATTCTTTCGAAATATACGTGGACCAAACTCTTGTTAATTCTGGGAATCTCCTCAAGGATGTCAGGTGAGTTGCGGGTTATTATCGTTTCCTAGTACTTTAATGCACAATTATGCAATCCAGTATTATGATTATGCATACCTCTGGTGCGTCCTACCGGTAAGGCTTAAGTAAACTAAGTGTGCCGTTAGAAAGTCGGCTTCAAATGACGCAAGAGGTTGGCGATCCGTATCAATATCTATGACTATTAGTCTATGGGTACTTATACAAGGGTTTTTTTAGCCCAAAAACGTGATATTTTTTGTGCTTTTAGTTTACTGTCTCGTAGTTGATATAACCAGCTTATTTTCCTATCGTATTTTTTTTTATCGATAGCATTCGTGTCAGGGCTATAGGTCTGTTGTACTTCGTATGCACTCGCAGGGTTTATCATGTTTGATTATCTAAAAGTATTACCTATTGTTTGTGCCACTGCTAGCTGGCAAATCTCTTATTGCGATTGCTCAAGACGACTGTACAGTGTGAGCTTGATCTTGGCCTATTCACGAATCTTTGTATGATGGGCAAGCCTAGTCCGTAAACTGGTCCCCAGCTCTATCTATACTAGGCCGTACTGAAAGAGTCTCGGATCTCATGGGGGCGAGAGTTCCATAAAGATCTGACCACCAGTCTTGAATAGAGTCGAGCTATATCGTCAGGCGACAGCCTTTCAAGCCTCGACTGTCAACACGCCGGTTTGACCTTCTATGTGTTAGTCTGTCCGACTGCGATCTTTGAGGCACCGTAGAGGCTACATTAAGATTGAGCTAATACGGCTTGGCCATTGCTTTAATCTAGAAAATAACTATTCTATCAACCGGCAGCCTTCCAAGCCACAACTTTTGCTGTGGCAGGTTAGTTATGATGAGAAACCTGTTGAGTTGCATGAGGGAGGGCTCCTCAGTACTGGTCACACCTCCCTCCCGCTGATCAGTAACTTGGGCGGGCCATTCGTTAACTACTGAGGTTACGCCCAATGGTTGACATGGTCCAAAGCATGCTAAGGTCGCAGCACATGTATGACACTAGTTAAAGGTGTGCCGATCCCGCCCAGTTCAACTAGCGCGTGTAATAAACAAATAAGTTATTGGTCTGATACGACAGTGGCGCAATCTACACGACGCTCAGGCGCTCGGGAATATGACTAGCCAACAATGTTTTGAGTTTCATGGAGATACTTGTAGACAGTAAGTTTTGTGTCTGTATATGCGCTGAAGCGTCCTGATTAGTATTGTCAATGGAATCCCGCTTCGCCTCCTTAATAACACAAGCTACTACACATGTTGCATGATTCAACGTCCATCGTATGAAACTGTATAACCGTACTGCCTTTGAGGAAACTCTAGGAAGTAGTGCAGTGTTCCTCATGCGCCACTTTTTACGCATGTTGGTTTTGAGCGCTACCACCAGTAAACTGGCAGGAGAGCCTGCCCAGACTGGAATTCGTTTCGGTTTCGATGACGCTGGTTCTATTACGAATGCATCGCTGCTTATCGAAAGCTGTATCCAACTGGTATCGCCTCCCATACATCAGCCTTCTTCCGTTTGAAGTAGGCTCGACTGGGCGTCTTCCCAACCTTGCTGTCACACATTATTCACAACTTATCCTAGTTTGAGCAAAAGGCACTCCAGGGAGAATTCCTCTGCTACCGGTTGTTCTTCCATGTTTTTTTATTGTATCTTACCTCCCAAGTCATCAACCCGGATCTCTCAGGTTTGCTAATCTGGACCGTATACATTGTCAAGTTCGTAAAGAAGCTGTTTGTTTGCTTGTAACTTTCAGCCCTGCTGTAAACCCTCCAAATGAAATCGACGACCCCAATGACAAAAAACCATCTGACTGGGATGATCGTGCCAAAATTCCTGATCCAGCTGCGAAGAAACCAGACGATTGGGATGAAACTGCTCCCGAATTCATCGTAGACGAAGATGCCACTATGCCTGAAGGGTGGCTAGAAAATGAACCAAAGCTGATTCCTGACGAAAACAGTAAAAAGCCCGATGATTGGTATGTTGGGGTGGACACTGGTTTTCCATTCACTGACATTCTGAATTACAATATTGCATTGATAGTACCAGCGCGTGTGCTGAATACCATTACTATTTATTATTATTATTATCATCATTGCTCATAAGACCTTTGCAAATTGTCAAACAGGGATGATGCAACTGATGGTGAGTGGGAGGCCCCTAAGATCGAAAATCCTGCCTGCAAGGACGCTCCTGGTTGTGGCAAATGGAGCAAACCCCTCATAAAGAACCCTAAATACAAAGGGAAGTGGTCGCCACCTCTGATCTCGAACCCTGCCTACAAAGGCGAATGGCATCCCAAGAAGATCCCTAACCCCGATTTTTATGAAGACAAAGAGCCATACAAGATGACGCCGATCGTAAGCACACTTAAACTTGGTTCCCCATGATTAATTTGAAATATTGCGTATTCTTGCATGCCTTTTTGCTGAGATAGTTTGCTGGCAGTTTTTCGAGCGCAACTTCAAGACTCCCTGAACGTTATATCCTTGACCCTTTTTACACCGATTTGGACAACTGCAAGACGTGACCGCAGACGGTTTAATATTCGCTGTTTACTATTCTACATCTAAAACTCGAGTAGGAAGCAGTAACAGGTATCTTAAGAAGACACCTCTATTTTCTCGGTAGACCTATTGAACCCAGCATGAGTTAGTCATTGTGATTGTAAGCTTTCCAAGTTAGATCGCCAGTTAAAAGCCAAGAAGTGTCTGTACAGGTTGAGTACTTTTATTGCCCCTCGTTATTTTTTATATTAAAAGATAAGTCTCGGCGTGTACGTTCCTATGTCAAGTGCCATAGATAATGAAAACGTTATGACCACGAAGAACTAAGCTCATAGACACCATTTTATTGCACTCTTGCAGACCAACAACTTTTCAAAATAAGTTGGTCTATGCAAATTTGAGCAATCTTCATTGGACCTAATGGTAAAAAACTCATCAGCCTCGGCGGGAGTCGAATCCACAACAGCATGGTCATGTATTGAGTACAGTCACTGCTCTAAATACTTGAACTACGAGACCCCCCACCAAGGTCTGTTAGTTTAATTACTTTTGGGTCAGGTTACCCGCTCAGCCTACCGCTCTGATTAAACTCGCGGCTTCCGGTGGGGCCTCGTAGCTCAGGTCATCAGAGCGTTGGTTGTACTCAAGCTATGCCCATGCTGTTGTGGGTTTAAATCCCACCGACGCTACCGAGTTTTTTTACAATTGGGTCAAGTGAATTATTTGGATCTACCAAAAACCTATAAACAAGCTTCTCATCTGGCTTGATTTGCTTGTTCTCTTGCGACGCTGTCCGACTGAATTTCAGGTTTGCCGGCCCAATAGGTCACAAGCCAACTGCTCTACGCACGATCGGTATCAATCTGAAGTCTTTCCATTCTACTATAAACTTTGTCTATTCTCATCTGCGGACTAAACCTGGATGATTATTTACGCCCATTGATGGATAACCCAGACCCTATACTTCCGTGACCACAGACCAGCCATTCAATGTTCTGCCTTTTAGCGTGCCCTGGGTCTCGAACTGTGGTCTCTTAGTGACCAGATTGCCTTCGACAATTTCTACATTGGAACTTCGAAGAAGGGCGCTGACGAGTTTGCGGCACAGACATGGGCACTGAAGCACTCAGCTGAGCTGGCTGCCGACACTTCTGCGGTACGTCCCCTCCCAATACGCCCGCCTTTCAAATGATTGCATTCTCCACACTTTTTTCCGAGGGACATTGTCATAGACCATGACCCGACCTTCTTTCACTCTCACAGCTTTACACTTTACTCATTTGACTCACGAATCTTCATGCCAAATTTTCCTATTATCTCTTGTGTAAATTCATCTCACAACCCGCCTTGAAAACACTGAATCCTAGATTTTCGATTGTCGGTGACTGTTACTGTAAGATCACTGACCAACGCTGTTAGAAGTACTAGCACAAACAGTAGTACAGTTATAGTTAATGTTAGGAGTTCTAATGGAGGCATTTTGATTGTGATTGAAAGTGGTGACAGCACTGGTGATAATGACGTTGGTCATAAGGGTGGCTGTCCTGGTAACACGTAGTGGTGGTATCATTGTTGGTGTAAGTAAGTAAGTATTGTTGGCCATAGATGCAATGCTTAGTGTGGCGATCTGTGAGATAACCTGGAAGAAATTAAAAAGCGCGGCAACGCATTACAGGGGAGTATCGTGCACCGATCCGTCCTTTCTAGAGGGCGGAAATGTATACTGTTTTTCCCTGGGGCTAACGAACTACAGTTTACAGGCTATCGTATAGTGGCTAGGAATCAGTAACGGAGAGGTTGTCAAGACGAGGGTGGATACAACGATCATCTCTGACATCGTCTTTGCGCTGGCAGATAATTACGACAAGAGATAGGGAGAGGCGGTGACCATACGGCTGGTGACCTCGACCTTTTGCTCTCAGTAGGCGTATATTCAAGCCCCCATACTCCCCTGACCCAAGTTGAGGCCTAAGTGCTCTTATTCGCATCTAACACGCTGCGTTAAGGCGACAGAACCCAAACATAACCAACTAACACGTCCATTCTTCCTGCCCCTCTGACAGAACTTGAAGATAATTTGGCCCGCTTTTTCGAACATGTCTAGACACTCGACCCTGTCCCATCACTATTCATTAGCTATTTTTTAACGTTCAGTGCTCTACCGTTACATCTATTAGTGTACTGGCCTGATTATGAATAATCGAGAACGTACGTTTTTGGACTTTGACTTCTCGAATATTTCTGACTTATATGCCATCATCAGCTAGTGATAGCCCAATCTCAGACTGAACACGGTAGATTTGAACCCCAGTCGTTCGTTCATCGAACAGTGTCCACCCCTACGCCACGAAATTGCGTCCTTCGTCTGAAAGGGGGAATATCAGGCCACTCGGGTGCGGCTTTGCCGGTGTTACGCGCGTCAGAGCTTAGGAGTGAGCTGGTTGTTGAGTAATTAAACGACACTAAGTTCGAACTTCAGACATGTGGCCTGGGGTTGGAGTATCATTGGCCGATGTTGGCCAGGAGTTAACCCTCCAGTGTATTTGACCGGCTCGGACAGTGGACTGGTGCCTGGGAAAGGAGGGAGAGGTCGACTCCGGAGACTACGTCTCTACATTCCTCACCATAACCAATTTCATACACCCTTAAACTATCACGATTTGCCAAAAATCGTGCCATGGAAGACCGCCAACTGACGGGATAACTTGGCCCTCTAACAGTCAGGTGGCAATTGCACCTTTATATGGCGTCAATGGCACTCCTCAAATGTGATCCGAGCCGACCACTTCCTGTTTTTGCTTAAACCTGGTTTGTCATTCGCGGACCAGGAGCGTGTGACACGCGTAGGCGGTCTGTTTTTCTTCGTCAGCCACTGCGTCCGGCTTTCTTGACAACTTTTCCTGGCATACCTCTGTGAAGAGTTTTATCTAGTCATCTTCGTAGCACGTAACACCCTCTACTGCAATTTCTGAGCTCTTTCGTATTTCGTTTAATCCCTTAGAAGAGTGTTGTTGACGCTGTCAAGGAGGTCGTGTCGGAGAAACCATGGGTCGTGGCATTGGTTTCACTGGCCGTTATGGTTCCCCTCGTATTACTTTGCATCTTCTGCTGTCGTTCCTCACCGGAGGAGACACCCGCTGAGGCTGCTGCCCATCACAAGAAGACCGACGAGCCCGTGGCCGATGACGAGAATGCTACCGGCGCTGGGGTTGAGGAGGTCGAAGAGTCTCCGGCTGAAGAAGAGGAGGAGGCGGACGAGGAAGCGGAACCAGCATCAAAGGAAGCGGGTGACACCGAGAAGGTGTCTGACGATGCCGCGGAGGATGACCATGAAACCGAAGATGAGGAGGTGAGCCTAGTATGACTCGTTTTTCCAACTGGTCTCGTTTTCACCTTCATTTATACATATTGCTGTCACGATGCACTAGATGTCCTTTACTAAGAACGTCTCTTTTCCGAATATTATCTTAATAGACGTTAGATCAATGTATTGGATGTTTGTTGAAGGGACCAGCTCGTCTAATCTCCGGTTATCGCTCGGGCAGTGGAAATACTGGAGATGTTCCATGATGTGGATCTAGAGAATAACATTTCTTTATGATTAGTCAACCGAAAGTTCAGAAAACCGTTTTTATTGGTTCTGCATGCAAGGCTCTTCATGGATCAATTAATGACACTAACAAACCCCAACACTTGTCCTTGTGGCCCACACTTGCAGCCACAGAAGCCTCCCACTGCTTTAAGATGTTCTCGAATCTTGGCAACGTTCGATTGCCATCGTTTTACCTCTGCGTAAGCCTTTCAAAAGCAACATTTTCAGCCTAATAGGTCTTGGGTCGACTTGCGGAGTTTCCTTGAGTCGATGACCATCTTAGATTTTTCAGGAGTCATTATGCGGTTGCCAAACATTTTGGCAATCATTTCTTCTCGGAATGACTTGCTTTTAGAGGTGGGTTCTTCCACTGTCCACAAGGTGTCTGTCAGCTGGAGCGATTCGTCTCGTACCCTTTGCGGTTGGTGTCTAGCATCGTTAGCAGGACGGCTTAATCTGTCGAACGTCCAGAGTGTCATTGAGACACTTGCGGTAGCCGGAAAAAATGATATCATTTTATCAGGATTTGCGATTCTACTGATTCAGGGCTGCCTTTAGACGTGGACGTTTGACAAGTAGTACATGGTGCGGAGACCTTTTTACGGAGTGAAACGGACGGTGTCATGTATGTTTTCGGAACAGGGTACCGAAGTTATTACTAGTGCCCGTAGTAACTAAAGCTTAATTCTTTTTTTAGGTCAGTAAGCCTGCTACCAGGCAGAGGACTCGAAAAGAATAATTTCGTCTGGCGTCTTCTCGCCAGCTGGACGTCCACACGCGTTTTCACAGTCATTGAACAGTTCCTGGCTGTACAAATCACACATTCTTGTTCTTTTGTATCGTAGTTGTGCTTCCTCCTCCGTCTCCTGCTCATGACTTTGTGGTTGATCATTGTTGTTCGCTTCTCATGCGATTTCCCTGTTTGCAGTTAATGTCCTAACACAATTAGGTTTTTTCTGCCAACTGTCGGACGTCGAAAAGCACTCGCCTCTGTCACATCAAAACGGTGTTTTCCTTGGCTTGCTTTCTTCCGAGTCTCGCGTTCGGCAAATACATCATGAACCGAGTTCCTGACGGATATTTATTGATCCGTCCAATTTTCGCACCTATTTGGACCGGAAGTCACTGTTTTTCCTGAAAGACACACCATAGGCTTCAAAATAGCCTGAGTCTCGTCCCTGTTAGACTAATATTCTGGGAGTCCTGAGTGTAATCACGCTACTTTTCAGGGCTTTCGCGGGTCGGTGATGTGTTAGCACATCTCCCCTAACAGTCCTCCCTCAGCATTTGCAATTTTTCCCTGCGATACGCGTGGGATGCCCGCCCCTTCGATTGCAAATCCACTAAGGTTGGTATTACGGAAAATATGCGGAGGGTCGCTCATTCATCGGTAACTGAGGCACCCCAATCAGTCAGCGACTGTTGCCATGCCTGAACTGCATTTCAAATGTTTTTCTCATCATCCGAAAGATCAAATTCCCTCCAAAGGGACTTGCGAATATTGCACTAACTTCGGCATGAAGAGTTGGCCTTGGCTTTGTTTGGGTTGAAGGAGAGAAGGGTATCTCGGAGTCAATTCGCTTTATCTTTTTGCGACTAGCGACTTTCGGTGAGTGCCGTGGACAGGGGGGAGGTGGCCGCCCTGTCGAATATTACAGCCACACGAGGTGGAGACTTCACCGCTCCAACTTGGCACGCAGCTGTCGTCTGTAATTCTACGAAACTGCGTCGAGCGTCGACCAGTGGTGTGACCGTGTAAATAATGCCGCAGGCGGATTCGGGTGTGGTGAATGGTCCAATCTATGACCCACGCCCCTGTGCGCTCCCATAAGACTGACCGTCACCCACTGACTGGACCGAACTACACAACCTAGTACAAAAAAACACCCAACACCTGTTTCTCCTGACCGATTTGTTTTTCAATCCGGTTTTGGCCTACCGCCAGTCAATCGGAATACATGCAGACGGGGACAAGAATTTGGGTCGGTCACTGTGTTCAAATTCGGCTCCGATGTTTTCGCCCTCATCCCACTAAACGGGGGAAGCGAAAGCCAGGTTGGGGCTGTGGAAGTCCCCGTCGTCGCGATTCACTTCGCGCGTAACTCATTACTTCCGGAGTGGCGCCGGTCATTACTGTGTTCGATGGACGAAATGTCAGCACTTATCGGATGTGATGCCTTTAGATCCACTGTGAAGCCTCCTAGTTGGGATGGGACTATCATGCTGGTCAACATTAGGATGACGGACTGAATTCCAGATCTGGGCGTCCGTGCGCTTGTTGCCCGTCTTTGTGCCGACTCTCCGGAAGGCGCGGTGTGCCTGGGCTTAAATCCTCTATTAATCAGCTTATCAGAGTGTCAGACTACACGGTGTGCGGACCGACAATTTAACAGTGCAGCAGCTCTTAACAACGGCACGCCGGGGGCAGGGCGTTTCGGGCTGTGAACCCGAGGGGCGTATGGGTGCAGGCTGTTCAAGTGCCATATAACAGCCAACGATTGGTCGGTTGTTGAGACTAGCAAAATACTGGAGTGGACATGTGGTTTTCTTGTCCTTCGAGTTGGAGGAATTCGACGTACGAGGTAGTATGATGGGCTAGCGATTCACCGTCGTGAGTAATTGAGCATGGGACCTGTGAACACGCCTCCAGAGAGGTCAGTGAGTGTCCCCTATGGACTCATCACTTACCCTTCCGGCTTTTATTGGATCTGTGGCCATAGACACGGCATGCCAACGCGGCTCACTCCCCCTTCCGTTTCCGTGCGGTCCCTGACCCTCAGGACGACGCAGACGTGATTGGTGGTAATTGCCTCGGTCGACGGTGGTCTAGGTACCCCACTAAACAGTGCTCGGTTTGGCTATGACTTCGATGAAGTGCAGGGAAGTGGGCCACTGCACGCAAAAAAACAGACAGTATGGGCGGAATAGCATTGCTGACAGAGACGAGGGAGGCTGGATGGCCGTTCTTGGCATGTTAGCCGTCACCAGCCAGCCATACCCAGTCTCGGTGTATGCAACTCCTGAGACTTGAATTCGCGACCTGTTGGTTAGAAGTCCAACTGCGGGCTCGTCCTCCCGGTTGCGATCGGGGCGCCCGCCGGTCACGTGACAGGGCACGCTCGTCTCGTACCCCGAGGCTCTCTATCGAGCCCCGACAGCAGCCGCATAGCGGCGCCAAACATAGAATGGCTTTACTGACATCAAAGACAGGGGAGACTGTAGTGGCAACTTCTGGCCTGTTAGGGCCCTGGACACAACGCGCAAGTTTCTGTTCCTGTCTGCCCCCTCCCCCCATTAGCTTATACAGACTGCCTAGATCCAGTTTGAATTTCATAGATCGTTGCCCAGATTCCAGTTCCTCAAGGCAATCCTACGGTGTACTCTTATGCAGTATTTGGCCTCGAGGAGGAAGAGGGATGAAGAGTGTTTTTAGCCAAAACCACAGGTCGTCCCCACCGTGTCAGTGTCTGACGTGAACTCCATATGGCTGATTTTAAACGGGCCTCTTCCTCCTGACGCCAGGTTGAGGGCACAATGCCGTATTCAGCGTACACGGCAAACGGCATGTCGAGACCACCGCAGTCTGTGGTGACCTCACGCTGTTATATCAGTGGACGTAGGTTATCTCCTTGGGGGCTGAGCATCGAGGACCTACATTCTATCCTTTTCTATTCGCAGGAAGCGGTCGTCGCCCTCGTCACTGCTTCTGTCGAGGCAGTGGCGTTGAGTTCGAGATACCAGCAGTTGAATGATTGGACGAAGAAAGTGTTCAAACCGTATCAGCCGTCTTCCTTTTATGGCCTCAGATATAATCTAGAAGTTGTAGTCTGGACCCCGTTTAATCCGGAGCGAGGTCCATGTACGCGCGTCATTTATCCGCAGAGCCCATCATTCACTACTTTGGAAGTATGACTGGGCGAACGGATGCCCGACTCATGCGAATCATTGTGGCGATGAAGATATCGATTCGGACGACGATCTGTCCGTTCCTACAACAAACCCAGCTACTGGAAATTTTAGCTTCTTAGTACGTGCGCTGCAGTGATCTCTTCTATAAATCACTACTCTGTGTTCCTTCGTCTGCGCGAGCATTTTGTAGGTCAGCATAGCTTGGCGCCGGTGGGGTGATCCTGCCGACCGCAGAAACGGCGTGCGTAATTTTCGAGGTCCCTGTTTCTGGTGCATCCGTGTTAGGCACTCGATGGAAGATCGGGCGGTAGAGCGATAGTTGGTCCTTTTGGACAAAAGGCCTGCACAGGCGTCTGTGGTTGCAACTGCACCGTTATTGGCAGGGGAAGATTTCAAATTAGGAGCTTATTGCGTTTATCTGGAAGACTTAGCATGTTTACGTTCCAAATCCAGTTGAAACCTCTGGAAGTGGTAGAGGGGCGCTCACCGATCGTTCTTACGGAAGTCACTCGTTCCGTTGTGCCTTACGGGCTCTCTCTCTCTCGAGCTCAACCAGCAGCCGCTTAGCGGCCATTCCATTCTCCCTTGTCTTTGTCGGTAATACCAGTCTGCCTATATCATGCGCCGCTGTGCAGCTACTGGGTAGGCTCGAGAGCGAGAGAGAGCCCTTAAGGCACAACGGGAGGGATGAGTTCCGTAAGAACGGTCGGTGAGCGCCCCTCTACCATTGTATATTCCCGATCGAAACCGGCAGAACAACGGGCCTGCGGCCCCAGTGGTTAGAGGTGTTGGACTTCTAACTTACAGGTCACGGTCTCGAGCCCCTGGTGTTACACACTTCAGGGTTGGGTATGACCGGCTCACGACGGCTAATAAGTTAGAAATGGTCACTCGAGTCCCCCTTGTCTTTGTCGGTAATAACCTTCTACCTCAGTTAGTTGCACCCGGAAACATCTGCTGTTAGTTACCTCTCCCAGCAATTTTGGCTGTGAGTAAAACCTTTTTCTCTAGCCTGCGCTTTGTACATCGAAGTTGAGGACACTTGCCGGTGCAACCGTTCAATTGTGAATACTGATAGCGCCATCCGACGGCGTGCTAACTCATCCGTGTTATTTCTTCTCGTTAGTGTCTGCTCGGCTGGGTCGGGTTTTCATAGTTTACATCTCTGGAAACAACGCGATGCCTGTTTGGCAACCGATGGCGGGCTACGCGAAGCGTGCATCCAATTAGCCCCAACCCTGACAACTGAAGACACTAATTGGCTGAGCGCACTCGACCAACGGTGTTTGAGGAGCGCTGGGTTTGTTAATTTGCATGAGCCATTCCGCCGCGGAAAATCTCACAACAGTGCATGAATAGGCGGGAGTTGGCCAGTTAGGTGCATCGACCGCGTCTCAGATTTAAACGTCTGACAAAACTTATGATGCAAAGCGACCCTCCGATGGTCAGGGGACTTATTCTGTGCGGGAGGGGCGAACGAAACTTTGAGGGAAAAGGGTAGACAGTTACAAACCAGACTTGGAGAATTCGAGATTTGAAACTGAATCCAGGTCTTTCAGTTGAGCCACCACTGGCTCAAACTCTGTCGTTGGTGACCTTGATTACTTAAGAGTTGGCGTTAAGCAGTCTTGCCTTTGTTAACATTCTCCTGCAACTTGGAGCCCATCACTATATGGCCGTCTGCAAGAGCTCGAGACTAGACCGGAACGTTGGCCTTCAATTCCGCAATCATGTTCAGATCGGTAAAATCTAAAGACTGTCTCCGTCCGCCATCACTGTCAAACACTGCCCCTCTTGACTGGCTAATAAGCCAGAAATGTCCATCCCAGT